CCCCCCTTCCCCAACTTTTGCGCGATTCCTGCGTCTTTCTCGTCCATTCGCCTTATTAACGTGGTTCGGCATAGCCCGAAAGGTATTTTGACGAGGCACATGTTTGTGAAAGAACCAGGGATTCTTTACGGGTAAAACTGCAACGGAAAGCTCCCTGACAGTGGTTGTTTCAGTTCCCTTCTGGTGCATAGTGGACTATGCCTTGTGTATGTCCCATGTACGGTTTGATTTTGAATCTTCGCGTATGTTTAACAAACCTGGAGCTGGGCATGAGCCCAATCACTGACAAAGCTAGGTAGTTGAAGCACTGTTTTCCTAGAAGAAATTTGAACAAGGCAAAGACCACGAGACTACCAGGATCTAATGATGTCATGCAATACGTGAGTACGTTCCTCAGAAAGCCAATCGTTATGTACGGGGAGTCCTTATCTCACTCTTTGATCACAACGTTAAGTTGCTCCGCGAACAGCTAAGTCAGTCGTCCAGCGCGGATCCTAATGCAACTCTACTGGTTTCCTTTACTCTTCCCCCTCCCCGCGAATTATGCGCCTTTCTTGTTCTGTAACCCATGTACGCTATTAACTTGCTTCGGCATAGCCCAAAGGCTATATGACGCGGCGCATTTGATGAAAGAACCAGGGAATCTTAATACGTAAACTAGAAACGGAAAGTTTCCTGGTAATGGCTATAGGAATTATCGCCTGGCGTATGCAGAGTGTGCGTATGGTTTGATTTTGAGTGCAAGGGTTGGACCAGTGTTTATGATACCTAAACTTGGAGTTCGTATGTTTTTTATCCAGGTTGGAGGTTGGCTCAGGCTGACAAAGTTAAATAAGGCTTGAGAATGGGCCCCAAGGCAGAGCGGGACGAGTGAGTTGTGTAAGCTATCGCTGAACGTTAATCCGACCTAAATTGGCGAAATAATGAGCCACTTTCGTTCTGACACATGGTGGACCGGTTTGATTTTGAGTGCCAAGGTAGGGGCAAGTGTTTTCAAAGCCTAAACCTGAAGTTCGCGTATTTTAACCCACATCGGAGGTTGACGCATGGTGTCTGATAAAGCTAAATAGGGCTAAACAGTTGTTTGGGGGCATAGGGTCAAGTAAAACTTGCCAGTAATTGGAGAAATAGCTTACAGTTAGCCAATTGCTGTCAATATCTCCTGGTCTAACCCGAGAAGAAAATGAGCTCACAACGCAGTGGTTAAACAGTTCGAATTTTGATCAAGAAGGTCACGGGTTAGAGCCTTGGCTTCTGCACCACTTGGGGTTTGGTAAATCTGGCCGAACGACGGGTACTAAACCAGAAATTGCCATTCCATTCACCCATGTCTTTGTTGGCAATACTATCTGCTGTGCGGCTGCTGTCAGGGCCCGGGAAATGGGACGCCAGCAGAGCGGGATGATTGTTGAAAATGCATTAATGAGGCTTAAAGTTCGCCCTTGTTCACAAGCGTGGCATAGAAATAGGAGAAGGAGGGACTAATAAAAAAGCAACAAGTTCTTGGACAGTGAGAGTTCTGGTGAT